TTAATCCTGAAACACCCTATATATTAACTTTTTGCTATACCTACTGCTACCCACGAAGGTTGTAGTTTGGTTTTGCCTTATTCTATTAATTTTTGTATTTGATATGTTTGGTTTTTGTTTTATGGGCGGATATGATTTGCCAGCGTCAATTTATCTTGTAGGAAGCAGTAAAATTCAGTTCACAGCAAAAATTTATTTTACAAATTGGACTTACAATGTACGATAAATAGATTATATAAATTTACAAATTTTAAAATTCCAAATTGTGCATTAATAATTATTATAGTGATTGCAATTATCAACTACAATATTATAAGTAAATAATAAAAGAAACGTTACATTTTAGCGCACCAACATAAAATGGAACTCCAAAGGTGTATTTGTTTTCCAATTCCGATCTAACATAATTCATATTGCAAAGGATATACATATACCTACCTAAAGTGTTCCACTTTTGTTAGCTGGTATTCTATGCAGTACAAACATTACTGATAAGAAATTTTATGGTTTATACAGTTTAAACAAAAGTTACATGTGTCATCTTTGGATACAGAAATTATTATTCCTAAAAATTTTAAATGTCCTTTCGCCAAAAACATATTTATATTCAGGTCTATCTAAAGCTGACAGAATCTTTTTAGTCGCTGGATTATTTTTGTAAACCTTTTCCAGTCCGACTAAAACAATGTATTTTGATATTGCAAACTCAAAGTAAATGCTAGAAAAAAAATTATTTGAATTAAATGTTGCGCTTATTTTGATGCATGTCAAAGGTGACAACATGTATTAAAAAAAAGGAATTTTAAACGAGCAAATCATAGTAATCGGCTTCTTACTGTATGATTATATAAAACAACAATGCTCTACGTTTGCTAAGAATATTTACCCGGTTTTCCGAACATCTTGTGTAAGGCCAGAAATAAATATCAATAAAACATTTAAAAACATAGCCACTAAATGTTTCTGCTAAATCGGTAACAATACTTTTCCTATTTCAATAGCACTTTTAAATATTGTGTTAAGTACGACTTATGCAACACTCTTTACCGATTGGTTAACTGCCCCTGTTGTATTTTGGGTTGCATGAGCGGCATCCGTTGGACCATATTTTTAAATGTTTCGACATTTTTGGCTTAAAGCTAAAATTAACGTAGTACACCTAAACAAATTCAACAGGTAATTTAGTTTTAAACATTGATTTCATAAATGGTAAATAAATTGGCACTCACAATTAAATGTTCTTAAAAGCTAAACATATAAAATATTAGGAAATGGAAGATGTAACACACATTTATCGATAAAAATTGTAATTAGCGAAATACTGCTAAACGGTAGGTACAATACTATAACATATAGATATGGAATTATACAATTTTTCTCTCCTTCAGTTATTCAGTCCTTTTTTCCGCTGTACAATCTTAACATGCCGACACTAAAACTAATAAGCCCCTAAACGAAGGCACAAATAAAATTGGTCAAATTGCCTATTTTTATACTTTGATTAATTATCTATATTTATTGTTTGAGCTAGAGACAATAATTTACAAAATCGACAAGAATAATAAGACTATTTGTTCTTATTAAGTCTATTAATGACAGAATTATTTAAAAGCTGTAACAATAAAACATCTCAACATAATTCTGATTCCAAACAGTTTTTGATTACATTCTGCCTAAGAACTGAAATGAAATACTGCGCTAAAGACAAATTAGTCAGTAAAACGGAAGTTATCTTCTCAGTCTGTTCCTCTGTTAGTGTTAATGATTTTAGTGTTAGTTTATCTGATATATGTAAAATTTGAATTCACTGTTAAAAAAGTTTCTTAATGAAAGTTGATAGTAGTTTCAATAAAATGCGATGCAAGGAACAGTTCAGAAAGCTTTGGACGTCAGTTTTCTTAACACAATTTACGACTTTAAAACTTACACTACAAAAAATATAAGTACAAATATAAATGGGGAACTGGCTCCTATTATAATTGCACTATAAATATAATTATTAATAAAGGAATAGAGAGATAAATACTAAATCCCTTTTATATTCTTTATTAAATAAAATTTTCTATTTAATATGTGATTGAATTTGATAATAAATACAGGATGTCTCATAATAGTGTTCAATAATTTACCACTTGAATCTATTGCCAAAAATAAGAATATTTTTTCATATCAACATGGGTCAAGAAAAGTTTCCTAAGGGAGCTATGCCCCCCTAAATGAAGCCTCAAAAAATTCATTTTTTTTTTTAATATTTCAGGTAAATTTACATGTTGCTATTTTCAAATTTAAACAGTGAAATTTGATAGATTATTAAAAATGGTAATGTTTTATATCGAACAAATCCGTTTTCGAAAAAAATCGGTTTAGATATTATGTTATACCACTTCCCATAGTGTGCTTTTCTAAGCACTTAAATCCGTTTTTCTTGGAAATGGAGCATTTTATCGAAAGAAATAGAGGGTACCTTTTTTGTAGAGGAAATGAAGGTCTATTATACGTTGGCCTCTGAATTTGAGAATTTCGACAAGCAAAAAAATTGGGTCAAATTTTAGTTGACGACCTCCCCGATTGAGACGCCCCTGATCAAAATTTTTAAAAAATTTTATGATGATCTACTTCGACTTTTAATGAGCGTTCATGGTGTCAAAATTCATAATTTTCCTTCAATCCATTTCAGAAATACTAAAAAAATGATTTGTTTGACTCCCCATTCAGGGGGCGTAGCTCCGTTAGGAAGCATTTCTCGACTAATGTTTATGTGAAAAATATTCTTATTTTTGGCAATAGGCAAATGGCAAATTATTGGACACTAATTATGAGACACCCTGTATATCGACTTATTGTTGTGTCCACAGTTGACAAATTCATATTTATATTTTGCCAATACCATATCTAATAAGTTCTCATTTTAGTCAAAATGTTTATTTTTCGGTACCTCGAAGAAAAAGCTTCTTAAAATAAGTTTTCTAACAAAGCATGCATTTGTGTTTTCAAAAATGTTATTTAGAAATAATTTCAATCTAGTTCGCAGAATATTTAGTCGTTTTGAATGAAACAGTAATGGCCAATAATTTTTGGAATATTATTAATTTTGTACATAGTTAGGCGTACAAAAATTAACTAAAGCTTCTTAGAACAGAACAAAGCAATCAACTAAATTTACCCAAGTACCAAAATACTTCCTTGAAAAGTTTCAGTCCTTCAAAGACATTTTTGCTTATTTTATTTTTTTATGGTGTTTGTTATTACCTATTTAAGATATTTCCACGAGACAAGGCTTTGAGGAGATTTTGGGTTGGCCAAATATTAATAAATTAATTTTTTTTACCAAAATCATAGGATTTGTTGAGAACACAAGTAGTTTTATTTCTTTTTTCCAAAATTTTAATAAGTAGATATTTTGAGAAAACACAGGTGTTCTACTATATATAAAATATATAATTTATACGGACTGTAGAGTACTTGGGGGTATTCTAGATTAATTAAATTCCATTTTTTGGTAAATTCGTAACTAAATTAAATATTTTTACGGTATAGATCCATTTTAATGTAGAACCATAGAGCGTGATTCACAGGGTTGTATCACTTGTAACTCAGATAAACCGTAGGAAATATTTAGTCAACTTTGAAATTAAAATAAAGTTTTATTTAAACTAAAATATCTCCTAATGCTCAAGTGTTAATAACTGGTTACTGTATCTGGAAATTAACATTTATCTGTCTCGGGAACTATGTATTTTAGTGTAAAAAGTATACAGTTCGTACAATATTGGTTGAGATAGAATTCCAAGAAAAGAATAAGCCAATAAAGTTCTGTTATCCCATCTACTGTAACAATTTACCGCATTATTTTTAGAATATTAAAATATATAAAGTAATTTTTTTTTATTAAAATGTTTTTATTTCTTTTACAGTACAGTAGAGTACAAATCATAAATAAACTTGAAGATGCACAGGCCGATACATTTACGAGGAAATACGCCTTCGTAACTGCAGAACACAGTATGCACTGCAAGCTGCTACTGTGAAGGCCACGCCGCCAATGTCTTTCTACCTCGGGTGTCGAATGCGGTTAATCCCAGGAAAGTGACGCAGGGGTCTTCTTGGAATTATATCGCAACAAATATTGTACGATTAACTAGGACTATGTATTCTATATTATTAATTTCATATAATTTTTCTAGTCTACTTAATTCGTCAAAAAAATCAATAACATGACAATAACTGGCTTTGACATGGAATAAGTGGTAACTTTCTTCTAAAACAATACGTTTTGAAGTGGTAAAAGACGTTTTGTTCAAATGTTTGGAAACAGTATCATTTGAGGAAACTACAATAAACATGTAAAAAGTACAAAACTCAAATCTTAAATTGTTTAAAAGTGTTTTAATTAACATTTTCGCGATATGTGTGTATTCGACGGATATTTTTCGCGGGAACATATCTCTAAACAAATTTCTAGCTCAAAAGTACAAGTTTGTTTCTAATTCACTTTTTCGACGATGTTTCAAATTCCTTTTGCATATTCGTAAAAATAAGACATTCCTAATTTAGTCAACAACCAAACAATACTCCCTATATTTAAAGCTGTACCTTGCTTTTAAAAATTCTCATATTAAACACTCAGAGTAAATAAAATCCCTTACCTACTAGATAATATATCTTCTATACATCTCTCTACATCTATGTAAAATTTTACTCTATAATTATTTGCTAACATATGGACCCGGGTTGATTAATTCATTTATATAAAAAATTAAATTCAAACCTCATTATTGCCCAATGAGATGACAAACGACATTTGTGTAGATCTACCCTAAGATGCGGTTCATTGGTGTTGACAATATGGACCCAAAACTATGGCTGATTAACATGTCCAGGGAGATATGCGAGCGGGGGAAATAGAGGTGTTTTTTTTTCTCGAAATTTCAGGCGTTAGTAATAGCTGACAGTTAGAAAATAATATTATGAACGTATATATCAAACTGTATTCGGTAAAATATAAAAAACATTTAGTTTAAAAATATAAAAACCTTACCTACAAATAAATGTAATCACAACAAACTAAAGTGGTAGGGGAATTGTTTCAAGACCTATTTTTTTTTTTCAGATATTAGTTGATCACACATCTCTTATACCTGTATATGTAAGATACGTGCGTTTTATGAATATTTTATATAAAAATGTTAATACTGATATATTTTTTTCATCGCTAAAATGACTAAATAAATCAGATCTGGTTCTCGAAAAGATTCCCCATAAAAAATCACATAAAGGATTGTACTCTTCTATTTCCGTAACTATAAAATTAATTTTAAAATTGCGGCAGCACCATTAATTTTAGTAATATATTTTTTTAATTTTAATATATCTTTAAGCGTATATCAGGTGCTCTCGAAATTTTAAAATGTGAGAAAGCAATATGTACATATTAATCAGATAGTTACGGAACTGGCATACACAGGGTGCAAAGTAAGACTGTCTCACAAAATGCGCTATATATTTAGTTTATCCATTTATTGAATTTGTGGTTAAAAATGAAAACAGCATTTCTTATGTCTCTACATTCTGGACCTTGTGTATCCATCGGTGCAAAATTTTAACGAAACTTAACCGTACATAATATCGTAACACTAATAAGCATATAAAAAAATCACATTAAGGTGTACAAAATCTTAAAATTAGCATAAAAAACAATTATAACACATGCAGATTTTCGCATGACTTGGACTTGCTGTCTCTCGCCCAGACTTTTCCCAACAAATTCCTGACCTTCAGACTGGCCGACGTCCTGGACCCCCTGTATTTTTTTGGCGAATTCTGCGCGCTTCCGGTCGGCGTTACCGTACCGGACGCGGGCGATTTGTTCCTGTTCAGGTTCTTTTTGGAAGAGCTCCTCTTGCGGAATAGGTCTCTGCTGCGTTCAGGATTTTCTAACTTCAGGCGTATCTGCGTCAAGATGCCTACCAGCAGCTCGTCGACGTTGTGGTTGATCCCGACAGAGGTCTCTATGTACTTGCAATCGTACGCTGTGGCCATGGCTTTGCCTTCTGAAAAGAAATAACTCAGTTAACTTTTGTTTGATGATCTTGAAATTTTTTAAAAAATATATGCTCTAATTTACATGAAAATAATATTTATATTTATCTGCGCTTCATAAAATTAGCGATAATTACAATTTGTAGTAGTTTAAATTACAATATAAGAAATTAAAATAAGAATACACTAAACCAAACTATTAAAGGGTCAAAAGAATTTCCGAAATTTTTCCGTGATTTTTGACAGACTGTATTTAAGTGAAAAATGGTCCTATCGAGAATTAAAAATAGCAGTTTGAAGCTCTAAGATTCTAGTTTTTAGATCTTTCGGTCGAAAATTTTTAGAAGCTACGGAGCAATTCTAAGACAGCGCGACAAAAAAATTTTGCTAATTTTTTAATTTTTTTTTCGAGTTCACGGACTTGGAACAATTTTTTTCAGCTAAGCCGCTGCATGAACTAGATAGCTTGTTTATTCAGCTTTAATTGCCTCTTTTTAAAATTTTCATACGACCATTAAGTATTCATCGAAATATCAGACTTTTAATGGAAAGGGATCCTTTTGTCTTCAATAATCGATATCTCGGCGACAAATGGTAGTACAGAGAATTGAAGAGCTGTTTCGAAAACTTTAATAAATGCTCTATAACATGCAACTTTTCGGAATTTTTTTTTCGTCTTATACACAAATTTCCATTAAAAGTCCGATATTTCGCTGAATAATGGTCGTATCGAAATTTTAAAAAAAGGAAATTAAAGCTGAAAAAAAAAGTTCGTGAACTCAGAAAAAAAAATTATAAAACTTGCAAAATTTTTTTGTCGCTATTAGAATTGCATGATAACCATAACTCCTAAAAATTTTCGACCAAAGGATTTAAAAACTAGAATCTTAGAGCTTCAAAATGCTTTTTTTTTAATTCTCGATACGATAAATTTTCACTTGAATACAGTCTGTCAAAAATCACGGAAAAATTTCGGAAATTCTTTTGACCCTTTAATTGTTTGGTTTAGTGTAAAACAAAATGAGGAACTGTATTATCGAATTCTAATTCAGTTCAGGAGAAATTTAACTGATAGTCGCGAAATTCTCCTAATCAAATTTTCCGAATCAAACTTCCAATAATTAGAGAACCCAAAATGAAGGTCGAGCCAAAAGAAAATGCGAGAAGGTAATTACAATATACATATTAACTAGGGCAAAGATGCTGGACCGTTTCTGCCAAAGTAAATTGCTTTCCCCTGAAGGGAATCCAAATTAAAACGATTTTTTTTCTGTTCATAAAAATTTAATCTTGTTTCCGTTCCGATGTATTTAAATGTCTGTGGAAAATGTAAATGTAAACCACGATCGAGTATTTATCATATTTTAAAATTTTATAAGACCAGAGGGCGTAGAGTGACATTTTGCATTTGTTTTACAAGCAGCTGTTGATGTTTAAATGCAGTCGGATTTAATATTTAAAGCAGAAGTACCTAAGTAATGCAAAAATGTTTGTTGACTGAATAAAAATTTTGCAGCAGCACAATATGCTTTGACAGAAATAAAGAAAATTAAATTTTGAAAAGGAATTACTTCTCACTGAAATTGAAAAATAAAGACACATACCTTCCTCGATTGTTTATAGATTACTAAATCTTTCATATACAAATAGGGACGTAGATTATCAGTTTCAAATCAAGGATTGTGATTTTCTGTTAAAGTAATTTCGTTCTATTTGATGTTGTGAATTCAACCACGAAAAAACGAAAATGCAAACGTAAAACATTTACGTATATTAGCACATATTAAAATTTTATTAAGGAAATACATATTTAACATGTGTAAATAGCAGCTAAGGTGCCAAAGTCATAAGATATATTACATCGAAACTGTTGAAATCATTATTAAAACGACAGTAGTTATAAATAGAAGGCAAATCCACATAAAAACAATGTTTTCGTAAACATAAAGTATTTTTGTTGCTTTAACTGCTCAATTTTAATCTATAATTAATAATAATATCCCTAAATTAGCCTGCAATATTTTACACTAAAAATAAGAGAAAAAGTTAATTATGTTGTATACACGGAAAAATGGCTACTCTTTAAAAGTACAATCTTTAGATATCTCCAAAACCGTTTAAGGTAAATCAGTGACATTTGAATCCTGATATTGCTATCAGGGTTTTAAATTATTTGAAAAAACAAAGATTTATCACATTTAACTGAAGGGTTATGGCTACAAATTGTATAGTGCATCGATTATTTAGAAATTTGGTAAGTAAATTTAATGAATTTGGAATAATAACACTGTATAGGGTTTTCAATTCAAAATGTATTTCTCTTTAATAAACGAAATATATGAACTAATCAACTATATTCTTCTCATTTGTTCTCCTCTGCAATGATGGTTACATTCATTGGAAGCAAATCGTAGTATAACGCATTTTTTTTCCTACAAGATGCATCAGCAACATGGTGGTATGCCTTCCTGATAGGGCTAAGCTAAACAATGTTATTTTCGCTCAAAACATGCGGCACCCACACACCCAATTTTTGAACCTCTTGCATACGTAGTGCAAATGCCTACTATGGTCGACTGGTCGCAGTCTGTTATACTGATCAATTCCGGTTCAAATGATCTTCATCGGAGTCAGATGGTTTTCCTGAACCTGGATGATAGTTCTTGGCTCTCTTGGAAAAGGAAAACCAGCTTTATGTTGTAGTTTATCCAATGTTGGTTCTCCAGTGGTGGAAATTTCCGGTCAAAAAAATCCCAAAACGCTACATACTTATGCATCATCCCAACATGTATAACATGAGTTAGTTATAAAAACAAAGTTAAGGAAAATATGTACAATAAAAATACAATGTTTGATCAACATAATAATTAAATTATGGATTTTATTCTCTAATTCCCAGTACAAATGAAATATTGTTTAAACTGTTCCCCTTAAAAACTTACTATTTATAAATTTTTGTAACACATTCCATGCTGACTACGTGTTGACATATGTTAGACTAGTTCTTCGCAGGATTGGCAATTCAAAGAGTATTTAATTTATCTTCTGCCGTATGACACAGCAAGCTGTCTCTGCTGCCCTATTGCATTGTCTGCGTTTCACATCGTCCACTTCAGTTCTATGAAGGTATCCGTTCATGGAACAATGTCCTTTCAAGAGCCCTGTTAATTCGCTTAACTGATTTCTCTGTGTGATAGATCCCTTAACTTCCATTGAAACTAATAAAATTAACGATTACTTGTCCAACAGTATTGAATATCGAAGGAATGAATAAAAATGTGGCGCAATTTGTTTGAAGAGTAGCAGAACACAGGCTTGTGAATCCTAATTTGGAAAGATACAAGATAAAAATTTTCCCCCGAAGATAATGAAAAGGACCACGTTCGCTTTTCAACAGCTCCCATTAATCTCCGACTTTAGAAGGATAATAGCGACGTTAAACAAATGTAACGAGCCAGTGAAAATATTTCCGTGCAGCGTGTTCAGATAGCAGAATCTTGGGCGGCTATAAAAGCGTTGGAGATGGCAATTCCACTAGACGTTCTGCAATTATTTGTCTTGGAAAAACACGTTTGGAACTTTTTAACCTGGCGGGCGGATCCTCGTTGCTAACTCACGTCCTGGGACCGCTCTCTGGTTTTTGTTTGTTCGGACAGCTTAATTTTCGACTACGCGAATTATACCGTGTTTATTCTCACATAAATCGCCGAGACTGTTTTATCTTCATTAGCGACGTTTCGTTTGTTTTTGTTGACGCAATCGGGCCTGCTCTCAGGCCCGACACGTTTTATCACAGCTCTGTAATGAGGGTTCTTTTGAATCACTCTGGAGTTTACCCTATTAGTAATTTGAAACATGCGAAAAATTAACAGACCAAAGAAAAGTTCATAGTTCACGTATTACGGCTCAAAAAATTAAAACATTGCAAAGCATATACAGTGCTATTTTTTTAAACCCTGACATAGGCCAACTTTTTTATTTTAAGTGATAGACTAGTACTTCTAAATGCAAAGTTGTAGGATTAAGAAAACATGATTAAGAAAAATTTTACAAATAATTATTTCCGGTGCTGCCAGATTTCTGCAGTAGCTACAAAAACGATATTTTTTTAAATGGCAACACCGTATTTTTTTTAACATAATTCGACAAACCTTCAAATTCTAAATAAAAATTGTTATGTCACATTTACTTATTGGAGTAGCCGTAAAATAATCTGCAGTCGGTAGGAACTTAAAGAAACTATAATAAAATAGCAATAGCAGGCCTTGGATATTAAACAAAAATTGTATTGTTTGAAAGATGTTATCATTATTGTATTGTCATTGTGTTATTTGAAAGCTGTTGTATTTGAATGTGTATAAAAGTAACATTTTACTTCAATTGCGAAGATGATTTTCAGCCTTTTGCAGATCCTACCAGTTGTTTTCAGTTTTATTAAGTTAGTTCTTATAAACTCCAGATTTGGAAAAGGCTTATCGGGATGTCTTGGGTGGAATTCAGCGCACGCTTGCGTATACTTAAGCCATTAACATGAAGAAAAATTAATTCAACTTTCTCTTAAATAACTGATTCATTTTAGCAACTGAATTAAAACGCTATTTTTATACACATTCAAATACAACAGCTTTCAAATAACACAATGACAATACAATAATGATAGCTCCTTTCAAACAACACAATTTTTGTTTAATATCCAAGGCCTACTATTGCTGTTTTAGCTTCTTTTAGTTCCTGCCGACTGCTGATCATTTTCCTTGTTTTTGCCGATTGTTCGAAAACGGCTACTCCAATAAGGAAATGTGACATAACATTTTTTAAGCGGAGATAAAATCTGTAGTCAACAGGAGGTATGTGACTTATTTCACCATAAGTATCCAGACCAGATAATTATTCCAGCTACAATAAGTAAAGTACCTATCCAAAAAGTTTGAAGAACTGGGACCTTATTTATTTGAGGGCGAATTGACAGGCGACATTTATTTGGATTTTTTGCGTTTTCAGCTGATTTCAG